GACGTTCATTGTCGCTCGTTAACACTGAACCGGTTGTGGAGAACTATAGGCAATTTTCGATGCCTACAAGTACAGTGGTTTTTAACTTTGAGAAATGACTGTCTTTTAACCGAGGATATAGAGTAGGCTTCCTATTCTTCTTCAAGAATGCTGCTTCTTCTTCTTCTTCTTCAACTGAACTTTTCTTCTTCAACAGAGATGTCTTCTTTGTTGGGAAAATAGCATGATTCCGAGATGATGAAGAACCTTCTGCTCTGATACCAGTGATTGAATTCAAAGAATAAGAAAGAACAGATTTTTGAGGGGCTCCGGTAATGGGTAAGTGAGTTTTCTTTTAATTTTTGTTGCATTTTCTCAAGGAGAATGATCCTCCTTATATAGGGGCTTAACGCATCATCTCTACCCCTCAGATCCTCCCTCATGAGAGATTTTCTCTCAACCACCCATGATTCACGTTCTCCACCATTCTCTCAATAGAGAAACAGTGGTTGATTTGGTCATCAATGACCAAGTCAAGCTAACAAAATATCCTAGCAAGCGATACACAACATATTATGTATGGAAAACCTCTCACAGACATTAACACGAACACTTCGCATGCAACATAATAATTTAAGTGAAAATGAAGGGAAAATTTACACCTTGAGCCTGTGATCTCCACCAACGATCAAAATACCTATGAGAGAGGGAGTTGTCGCGGCGGCGACGGTGATTCAGCGGGGGAGATGAGAGATCACGGGAGAGCAGCGGCGTCGGAGATGGCCGAGAGTTAGATGAGAGATCGTGGGAGAGCGGCGGCGTCAGAGATGGCCGAGAGTTAAAGCGATGGCGTCGGAGATCTCGCGGGGGTGAGGCGAGATAACAGGGGCGCGGAGATGGCCGAGAGGAGAGCTACACCGGAGATGGCCATATTCATAAACTAGTCAATTTGGCTCTATGAAACATGTTAAAAATTCTTCAAAAACATTTTTAAAACTAGGAGGGGGATTAGCAGAGATGAACTCTCCTGAAACTTGTAGAAAAACGTTTTAGGATGTCAATCCAAAGCAGATCTCCAATCCAAAAGCCAAAATCACCCGAAAAATCCACTTGAAAGCCTCTAATATTCTCCAAGAATCAAATTAGGGTTTGTGGGGGTTTGGTGGCTGTTAGGGTTCTTAGAAAACTGAGAAAATTCGTGAAAGTTTGATATATAAACCAGTGAAAATGAATATGGGCTTTAGAAAACCAAAACCAACTCAAAACAGGAATCTGACTTTCTGCAGGTTTCGCGGTCGACCGTGGCGGTCGACCGGAGTGCGGTCGACCGTGACGGTCGACCGGACTGGAATTTTCCAGTTACACATATTTGGCCATTGTGCATGTTTTGACTCTTTCCTTTCCCATGTATGAACTCGTTCATACCTAAAACACATGGTATCATACTCATACACCATTTAACTATATTTATCAAAATAAATATCCATAAATCATAATTAATCTCATATTAATTATATTAACATAAACTTTCGGGGTTTTACACGAACCTATGAACCGGACCGGCTTGAACCGACCCAAATCAGCCTGAACCGAGCCAAAATCCTAAACTGAATCAAACCTTGAACCGGATTGAATCACCCGAATCACAAATATCACTTGTTAGCTCACGCGTGTGGAGGGATCCGAGGACAATTTGTATACATTTTGATCCCCTTTTCATGTGTTTTTTAACGTATTTGACGCCTGTATTGATACTCCAATAGGTATACGAGTCTAAACTGCTTCCCACTCTTGACGAGAAGTTTCTGAAAAATATTACGCGTAATATTCTTAAGGATAACACGGTAACCTCCAACGGGTACACGAGGTTAAACGGAATCCCAAAACTCCTAGGAGTATATGAGTATAAACTGGTCCTCCTCGTTTCAACGCCGGTCAATGCGTTGTAATGAACGTCAGCGCCGGTCAACGCGTTGTGATAAAAGTCAACGTCAGTCAACGCGTAGCCCTAAATCTACACCGGTCGACATGTAGAATCAATCCTAGTTCAGGAGATATAAATTTTCGACGAAAGGTAATCAGTCCAACGTCGACCCAACGATACGAGCTAAGTTCAGAAACCAATACAATTCGAGACTTCGACAACGGTCAGATGATAAACGCATCACCGAAAGAATTTTAGCTATTCGATAAAATACGGAATAGACTAAAAAGTGGAGAAGTCAAGAACTAAAGCCCGCTACGGGTCCTTTGACACCGACTGAAGGTGAGGGCCTATCGCATCCAAAGTATTTCAGACTCCTCTATAAAGGAATGAGGCTGAAACACTTTGGAGGGGTATCTGTAGGCATCTAAAAATGCCTATAGGTTCCCGTATACAGCTCGAGATGAAGGGGAGACAATAACATCATCATCCAAGTTGAAAAGATTTATCCGAATGGCCCGCGTACTCACCGACCACCGCCAAGTGATCCGTACGTTCATCGGCCACCGGAATGGCGAATCAAGCATCCCATACGCTCATCGGCCACCGGAACGGTGAACCAAGTGGTCTGCATGCCCGTCGACAACCGGCAAGCGATCCGCGCATTCACGAAACACACAAAGTGAAGGAAGCGTACCAGTCAGCGAAATGACGAAATACGCGTAAACAACACAACAAGTCAAAAAAAACCCAAAAACCAGAATAGCCGCTGGCGGCCGAGTCGTACCAAATCAGACTCGGCCAGAGCCACCAAATGGTGGCTCGCGCGCAGGTCTGATCCGGAAATGCATTTTGGCAGTTTCGACGGGTTTTCACAGGATTTTTCTATTCCAGAGGTTCCTAACTGCCTAAATCTTATCTTTAAACACATTTATACAGTTGTTAACTGAAGATATGACGGAATCCATCGTTCTTATCCATAAAACCCCCAACCGAAGCCTATAAATACAAGATTAGGGGCTCATTTCTGCAGATCTGGAAATCAAGAGGACGAAGTGCTGTCGAATTGGAGAGTGGAGCACGAATTTCAGAGAGTTAGTAGATCTTAGCAAAGTTTCTCCATAAACAAAGTGAGAGTTCGAGAGATCTGAAACTTGTTCCCCCTATTCCTCCAGATTTAAGCTTAATTTTAATCTCGAGAAGAGCCGTGATCTCGCTTGGTTGAGATTACCGCTGCTACGATTACTTCCTTTGTGAAGTAAGAGCATTGTTTATCAATCTTCTGTTCACCGGATCTGATCCGTATGCGGTTCACGGATGAACCCCAGCACCGGTAACGATCCCGCACAAGCAATAGGCGATAAATATCTATTGTGTGTAGTTTA